TTTTTTTTTTTTCAATTAAGCGACCAGACCTCGGTTGCAGGTTTAAAGGAACGCAATCAATTTTATGATCTTTTGACTTCGGTTATGTTCGCGAAGGATTCGCTGACAGTGGAAAAGGTCCAAATTGTTGTGCATTTAAACTCGCAATGGATATCAAGTGGCTTGTCAAATACGAATGTCTTAATTCGCCGGTTCCTTCGGTACCATGATCGGCATCATGGAGTCAAATTCGATAGGTACAGGGAATGTGGAATTTCGTAATAGAAGGAAGGTTTTTTTTATTTTTTTATTTATTTCCCCCACCCCTCCCTTCTCTATCTCTTGTCTTGTCCTTGACCTGTTCAACTGCCGACCAAGATGGAGAAGTTAGAACACATGCCAATCAAACCTGCCCCATGAAAGGCCCTGGTTAATCAAATTGGATGTGAGATGTGACATTAGCCTGACAACTTTCGGCTTCCCTCCCGTAACCGATTTTGCCCGGGAACGGACACTTAACGATTCTCGGATGTTAACGTCCCCGTTTCTCTCCACTTAAGCAGTCTGTCAGATCCACAGGCGTCATCGTATCTTTCGGCATCGTCGTTATTTGCTCCTGCTCACCGAGGCTGCCTTCTGACTCGCCGAGGACGATGGTCCAGTGTCTAGACCATTTGACGCGACAGGCAGCGTTGCGAAGATACTCCACCGCGTATATGTCGAGCATCCGGAGGAGTATACGGGAGTAATGTAAGACAGTTTCTCTATGCGTTGTTTATGCCGGAGGGATGTGTTTCCGTGCTAAATATACCGTATCTCATGAAGCTCTGGATGGATCGACAATGCATCTCTACAAGACCTCCTTTTAAGTCCTTATAGATTTCGTATTATAGAGGCCGATGCAGCATCCAAAGATCTAACGCCCAATCTATCTCGATCGTCTATTTAATAGAGATCTCTATTGACCTGCTCCCAGTGTCCAAGCCGCCACATATTCTCAAAAAACGCCGGGTTCCCAAACCCAGACGAACCTCTCACCATCACCACAATGAGCACATAAGATACTAAAACACACTCTTTCTTCCCTTCCTTAGCCTACAAAAACACCTCACCCCAGTAACCCCATACGGACATTCCAGATCCCGACTTAGCCCTGGAAAAAAGAAAAGAAAAAAAAAGCCTATACCCTAACTTAGGCAATCGATGCGAGCAATATACAGTGGCTGGTCAGTGGTCACACATCACAATCTAACCCCAAACAAGAAATAGACTTGTCTTCTTTCCCCCCCCCCCCCAACCCACACCATAACTAAGAGAATTAGCCCCGATAGCTATAAGAGTGAGTGGGTAAACGACCTCTCAAAGCCGAGATGTATTATTGATCAGAGAAAAGGCCACCCCAGGTAGTAGATAGTAAACGTAGACACAAGCCCGTAAGTGGTCATCTACTATGCAAAAGTAGCCCATAGATCCGAGATGGGGTGTTAAGTACAGTACTTGTCAGATGTTTGGCCCTTCTCTCTGCCAACCATTTTGGACTTACTTAATAAGTTAATATACAAGCCGTGCTGGGAATGTGGAGTCTGTCTGCATCTATGCGACGATATCTGCAGAACCCATGATCCAAGCTGCGGGCTAGTGGTGTCGATGGGACTCTAGATTGGCTGGCAAACGCTCGGTTGGGGTTCTGTACTTAGGGCTACTATTTTAGCCTATAGAGGTGTCGTGTTATAGTTTATTAAATGGGTTAGGACCCTTAATTAGGTAGTTTTGAGTTTTTGTGTGTGGGTTTTCTCGTTCTTTTTTTTTTTTTTTTTT